GTCTCCGGGTGAAACTTGGGATCAGACGGAGGAATTAGTGCAAACCTTTTTGGAGGATCTTTAAGACATCGAGGATGCAGATTCAATTCCTATTGAACGCGCACACCGGCCAAGGAGCTAATATAAATCAAAACCTTTTATATGCAAATTCCTCTCTTACAAAGACAAACCCAGGGTGTTTTCAAATGCTAGAGAGGGGTTAAAGAAGAATTAAACCCTACAAGTGGGAGAAGACTACACATTGGAGACACGATAGACCAGAGCCGGACTCCTCCACCACATGCTGGGCCTTAGAGGTGAAGACAAGACAGCAAACAAGACAAGACACGCTCACAACCTGTGTGTACCTGTGAAGATTCCGGGTCAGAATAGGTTTTCAGCAACCGAAAAAGGTGACTACGCTTGTCGTAAAAGGCAACTAACGGGATCGGGTGGTCAGGCTCGCTGACTTGGTTGATGCATGTCTTCATATCCCAATTGTGTGGATCAAAGCTCATGATGTCAATCACTGGATTCTCTGATCCAGACTCGATTATTTACAGACCACCGTCATATAGCTGGAATATTGCTGAGTGCAGAGTAAAACAACAAACAAACAAACACAATCCGTGTGTCAGAAATATCTTAGAAAATCAAACCACCGATTTTATGCCTCTTTCATAGACTTTAGAAAAGCCTTCGACTATGTAGAGGCAATAAGTTGTTATATGTGTTATTAAACAGAGGTGGTCATGGTAAAATGTTTATTATCCTTAGAAATATGAATTAAAATATAAAAGCATGTGCAAGGGTTGAAGATGTGAAAACAAGTCTTTTTAGCACCACGAGTGGTGTTAGACAAGGGTGCATGTTAAGTTCTGTTGTTTTTATACTTTTTTATGAACGCGTTTGTACGTAAAATGGAGATTATTGGGATGAGAGGCATATTTGTGAAAGATAATTTTGATGAAATCATGTTATTATTATTTGCTGATGATGTCACTCTTATTGATGATAGTGTATTTGGACTGCAGAGAAAACTATATACTCTTTTTGTGACAGATGGGGCCTTGATGTTAATTTAGATAAGACAAAAGTCATAGTGTTTGAAAGGGTGGTTATCTGAGGAAAACTGTATTCGTATGCCTGTTACCATATGTTAAAAGCATTTGACGAAAATGGTCAGACTAACAGGGTTCCTTATATAAGACCATTATTGTTTCAAACTGGGTTTTCATATGTGTAGTTGTCAGCGATATGAAATGCTTCATTGTTATATTCAAACAACGATGTAAAGATGTAGAATTTCAAAACTGGCATTACAAAATCACAAATTCTTCTTTCCTTGATGTTTATTCATCTTATAAATCACAACTCGAACCAGAAAAGTACATACTTTAGCATGTGAAAGAGATGTTTATGTTTATTCTGTTAAGCCATAATCTACATGTACAGAAAACTCGATTTCATATAACCGCAGAGTCATCGTTTAGCGTATGTATGAAATGTAACCGCTATGAAATAGAAAATGAATACAATCTTTTCTTAATTTGTCCAGTAAAAGCAGTAGAGAAAATATAATTCAAAAATATTACCATGTGCAACATCTGTCCCAAAATTTATCAGTTTTCTATCTACCAGAAATGATTGTATTATTAAAAACCTGTCCATATATTTAAAAAAGACATTTACCTATGTACATAAAAATGGTTAAAAAGAATAACATTTGTTATAAGAAAATTTGTGCATGTGCATATTATATATACTGAACCGCAAAAGAAACGTCACCATGCATAGATATATGAGAATCCTTATTTGTCCGAACACTGTAAACATACTTTGAGACATATTGAAAAGATGAAAAGTGTCAAATGTTCTTAAAGTTAAACACAACACTAGTCTCTGAGAAAATGGCATCACAAGTTGGTATCTTGTGTGCCTGCCATGTGCATTGATGACTGCCGTGCAACATCAATACATGAAATGGATGAAGCGATTGATGAAGGCCACAGGCACCTGACGCCCGAGGAACGCCTGACACAGTTCAGCTGCAGTTGTAAGCCTTGGTTGGATGAGATTCATGGACGGCTGAAGCCATTGTCATTCAGCCGTCTTTGAATCTCGTCCAACTGGTGCACAGTGGGATTTAAACTAGGACTGAGGACTGAGGGCAGGCCACTGCATGGTTCTGATGCCATTCTGCTGGAGGAAGTCTCTTGTTGATCTGGCAGTGTAGGCACGGGCGTAACCATGCTGAAAGTCGTGGTTGCGGCCACTTGCTAAATGAGGTATGAAGTGTGGTCTCAAGACTTGATCAATGTACCGAGCTGCTGTGACACCATTGCCTCTCCCTGGACCGATGTTCCGGAAGACCACAGGGTCGTCCCTCTGTGCAAGACCAATTCCACCCCACACCATGATGCTCAGACCGCCCCACGAGTCTCTCTCAACAACACAAACATCCGAATAACGTTCCCCATTGCGTCGTCACCACACTCTCTCTGCCATCTGCTGTTGAGATACAGGAACGTCTCTCGTCTGACAAGAGGACTGTTTTCCACTGCTGGTGGTGCTAATGCTGGTACTCATTTCCCACTGAAGACGGTTCCGGTGATGATGGGGTGTCAAAATGGGTCCTCGGTGTGGCCTGTGACATTTGAGGAGTCAATCGTCGACGCACCGTGTCCCATCCTGACGTTGGGTGGTGACCCTTGGTCTTCCACTACGTGGTCGGTCATCTGTAGTGTAGGTGGTCTGATACTGTTGCTGGAGCCTGTATATGGTCCTTATGTGGACTTGAAATGCATTGTCTACTTGCAGGGCAGTCTGTCCAGCTTGCAATCGTCCAAGAGCTTTGTGTTGCTGATTTCTTGTCAATCTTGGAATGTGGTAGCAATTCAATAATGAATGAATGTTATCCTATCTGGGTGAATTTTTATAGGGCAGGAAATGGGCGAACGTATGTGCATTTCAATTTGCACGGAACTCACGTGCATTGGGCTACCATGGCCGTTGCCGTGATACGTTTGGGCATTACCTTTATTGTCATCTGCTTTGTTTTTTAACATCAAATTTCATTTTTACGGACAAGGTAATGTTAAATTTTAGTAACTTTGACAAAAATAAGTGAGATAATTAAATGACATCTTTTCATGCAATGTTCCTTGGGGTGACGTTTTAGTATCTACCTCGCTATATTACGGCGAGCCAGCTGGTGGTATGCTTGTACATAGCATGCTTACAATTTTATCAGTAAAACCTTTGATATGTTGAGGCACAGATGGTTACAATGTCACACAGGTATTAATGGAGACAAACACCACCTGGCAGCTAACCAAAATCGGATAACTGTATTGATGGACTGTAATAAATATAGAGAATCACACCCGAGAGTCTTTTGATATAAAATATATCAACACGAATTGATAAAAGTGGAAAGATTCCGAGGCTTGCTGAGTATTTTTGTCACGTTTATCAACAAGGGTTGATATATTTGATATCAAAAGACACGATTGTGAAATTGTATTTATCATCCAATATCATTCTTCCAACTTCTTCTTCAGTTTGTAGACAGTAATTAGCAGTGTCTTCAGTGTAAAAAAGTACTGCTAACAGCTTCAGTAGCAGAGCCATCAGTGATGTCATTTGATTGTCATGTCAGTGACGTCACAATGGTCTGCAACGCATTGTGATGCAATTTCATTGTAGCGATATCTACAGTGATGATATTGCTTGATCTTATCCAAGTGATATCTCCTGTGGGAGCCAGTTTTGGATGATAAATCACAATCAACTTACTAGTTATTGTTAAAACAACAGTCTACAAAGGTTTTGACAAGGCATACTATTTGAAATTGTGCAGATATGATATAAAATTAGAATAATCAATTTTGTTTCGAAGTCAAATACTATTCTAACTAAAGAAGGCAAATGTATCGCCTGAACAGTCAACGCTGAATATACCACCTTGTGGGATACCATCCGGGCCTCAGTCAGTACCTCAGCTAACGGAAGCACTGTTGTTCCAACCGGTCTTCCGCATTGTCATGTTGTGTCTGAAAATGCAAAGCCCAACTTTGAATATAGCATATAAACACCATATTTTTTTATGCCATTGATGTTTCTCTGTCTGCAGCTTCCGGTATTCTATGGATGAGGCTATCATTATAGGGTCCAAGTTGACATCTGATCAAACACAATATCCACCTTGCCTGAAGGTGCATCGATGACCTACATACATTATATCATGGTTTTCATTGTGTTTCACATATACCAATAACACTTACCGGAATATCAAGAAATTACATGGATGTTTATACTTAATACCTAATTAGCAATTTTGAAAAATATATAAAATTTGCCTTTCCTTTACAGTGTTACACTCAAAGGGTGCACAATGCGAGCTTGATTCTTGTAGTACCGCATTCCTTCACAACCAATCTGACATGTTTTTACATGAAGTTTTGATTGAAGTTTTGATGAGCCAAATCAAGATTGAGCTGCATACGTTTCTGTAGGGAAAGTTGGTTTTGTTATTCTTTTAAGAATGTGAATAACGAGGCTGGCTAGTTTATCATTCTTTATTTGACAAACATGACAAACATAACGTCATGTGTCCAAAAATCTTGAGTTCGGTATGAGGCATATATATTTCGTTTGACTATCAGTAAATGTCTTTACATATCTGACCCTGACCGTCGATCAGTTATGAAACCAAATATTGCTTTTTTGGTTTTCCGAAACAAAGACAAAATCAGTTTGTGTCAATATATTGGGAACCCCCAAACAAAGTGAATAAAGCACTCCTTTGCATCTTTATCACATTTCATATCCAAGACATGTGCTTTTTGACTTTCATTTTACAGCAAATGAAATGGACCTTCAATATTCCTATGTCATACATCAAAACATCTGGGATATATAGGAGTTTACTGAGTCACTACCATATGTCTGAAACAGGATGCATTGACACATGATACTATTTATACTTCAAGTAACAACGTGTAACCTCTGCTTTACAGGAGAACGTCAAGCATCAACCTCCGATTGTCTGTTCATAACCTGATACATATATTTCACATATGATGGCAAGCGAACTGGAAAATCGACAGAACAGTGTCCCTGAACTGATAACCCGTTTGCAAAACAGTGTGACTCCAGATGGAGTCACCCGTGCACATGCAGTGTCTAAATCAAGCTTTGTCAAGCCACTAAAGGAGATGTTTGAAAGACCAAATGATGCCATAGAAGGCCAGATCAACATAACAGGCTTAAAAAGGGGATATGTAAAGAATTCAAGTGTATTTGGCAAGGTGAAAGGGGGACTACGAAACAAACAGACCGTGGTTGGAAGCGATATATGTATCCTTGGCCAAAATGATCATCCTGATGGCTGTGATAGCAGGGGTGAAGATCGGCACCCGAAACAGATCACAGGAGTTGAAGACGGTGTTGTCGTGGACTCCACTGTAGCTGGCGTAGTAGAAGGTGGCGTGGAAAATGAACAGACCATCAAAGATTCAAAAATAATTTCTGATGGAAGCTGTACAGAAGAGCTAAACTTTTTTGACCTCAGGATAAAAAAGAGAGATCCCACTACAGAGCCAGATGGGGGATCATATGATAATTGCATTATTGATTTACGAAAGGATAAAGACCGCCAAGATAAAGGTGAGATTATGTTTTTTTAAGTCTTATTCAAGCAAAATGGAATGGGCCAGATTTAAGAACTACGTAAACAAGAACCCTTTATTACTGATACATTCGAAACCAGTATATAACTTAACTATGCTTGATAATAAGATTGCAGCCAGGTTGACAAACACGCACAGTCATATCGTGGCATGCTATCCATCTATTCGTATGTTTACATTTACATTGTCCACATATCTCCTGGGCTGACATTTTGCGTTTTGATAACTGCTCACAGAACGGGTAAATACGCAGCAAGTATGCAAATAATATACACTCACTCAAGAATAGTAAGGGGTCATAAAATATTCATGCTATCATCGGTCGTCACAAGAGTCATAAACTTTGAACATGACTGCCAGAGATGAAATAGTTTAGTTTCCCAAACCTAACGCTTTTACCATGCAACTTCAACGTGCAATCGGAAGGGGTCTCATTCTTCGCATAATACACAAGAACAAGGTCTCTGCTGTTGCTTTAATGCAGGGTCTGTGATCAAATTGCGAATGCGTCGTTTGCAACAAGATAAAAACATATAAGAGCTAATGACATGATTCATGGTGGTAGATAAAACCATGTCCATGTTCACGATTGTATGATTCCCTTTCAGTGTTGTCGATTGTACGATTGGCATTTATTTATGAATCACTATAAAATAGTGATGATACCAGGTGTTCGCGAAAAGGTGTATGTATCTTTCCCCACCAGTGTCAACCGTCACAAACACATGTAAAGGCAAGGCAGTTGTTCACAAGAAAAATATCGAGATCTTATGATGCGATCAAAATAGGGATTTTTTCGACTTTTATCAACTCGTGTTGATATATTTGATATCAAAAGACACTTGTGTAAGATTTTATTTATCATTTATTCTTCCCACTTTTGTAATTTGTAGACAGTAATTAGCAGTGTTTTCAGTGTAAATAGTAATGCTGACAGCTTCAGTAGCAGAGCCATTAGTGATGTCATTTGATTGTGACGTCATGGTAACCGGTGGCGTCACAATGGTCTGCAAAGCATTGTGATGTAATTTCATTGAAGCGATATCAACAGTGTAGGCAGAGAGCATCTCCCACAGGAGATATCGCTAGGATTAGATCAAGCGATATATCCTGTGGGAGCCAGTTTTGGATAATAAATGCTCTCTGCCTCATGGCATTCATTCACCTGATGAAGGAGTAAGCATATACCCCGAAACGTTGTGTTGCTCATGATAAAGAAGCTGACATCAATAACATATCTTGCATACCAATGTTGCCTTGATTGAAAAGCTAAACAAACTGCTTTCTATTTACATTTCCAAATTATAAAACCAAGTCATGAGCTCAATGGTGACTGATCTAAACAACGCTGAATAATGTAAACAAATTCAACGCCAGAGAATAACCAGACTTTACACTTTTTTTCTGCAAAATGCGTGGGAGATGGGTGCTATCGTTAGGAAAGGACATGCTTAACCTTTCTCGACATATTGGAGTCATTGTTATATCAAGTTCACTGCACATGAGAGGAGACAATGACATACATCAGAAGGCTCTATGAAGGAAGCTTTATTCTTAGTAACTTTGTCAAACAAGCAGTCGTTTGTCTGACATTTCTCATTTGAATATGCTTTATTATGGATTTCCTGGTTTTTTTATGTCATGGGAGTGTAATGTCAGGCAACTGAAGTTAAATTTGCGATGACACCATGCAATCATCTTCTACCACCCAATACAGTAATACAAGAAATGATAAGCTTACAGTCTTGGTGTTATCATTGTGTACTCGCAATGACTACATGGCACATTCCGGGCTATATTGTGACATTAATCGCAACTCACATTTATTACAGGTGAAAAAAGTGAACGGGAGCAATTGGTAAGTAATATTCTGCAATTGTTTAGCACTCTCTCGACACATTATGTGACATACTATACATGGGTATTTCTCACCAATTTCTCTTCCCCCCAAAAATGTGGTTCTGTGTATAGAAAATTGTAGTATATGCTTAGTGTTGCAAAAGTGTTTGATACTTTCCTTTCCACACACATGTAAATTAGTTCCTTGTTCCAGGCACAAAACGTGAAGAGACTTCAGGAAAGTCTGCAAGACATTCAAGAAAGATTGATGATCCTTGGAGGTAGGCTTAAGAAGTTAAGTTGTCATTGAAATGCAACTGAAGCATACAGACGTATTGATATGTTTAGTTACATGGTGATGTTATAAATGTGACATTCTGTTTGCTTGTGGGCAAGATAGAGAAAATATCTGAAATGTTCAACTTCCATCAGACCATGAGGTGTACAAGAAAGTTGGGGCTGGCAAAGGTGACTGGCCAAACTTGTGAGTCGAGAGTAAGGAAGGATAAAATATGAACATCCATATACACAATAACAATAGAAAGACTTTTACCAAAAAGGAAAAAAGATCAGGTTTGTTGGCATGGGTAGGTCTGAGGCTGTATACGGGCCTATTCCACCTTTACATATTCTGGATCGTGCCATGGGTGTCAAAACCACAAAAATGGCAAAGACGGTAATAAAATGATTGAGCCTCTCCATCATGTCGCTTAAGATACTGTGTTTATGCCAAAGCTGTCAATGAAGTTTAATTTGAGATGATGATATTCAATCAACTTGTATCACCCAATACAGTATCAGGAAATCATAAGCTTACAGTCATTGTGTTATCTTTGTCTGCTCGCAGTAACTGCATGACACATTCTAGGCTAATATTGTGACATTAAGCACAACTCACATAATGCAACTTTCGTTACAGGACAAAAAGAGGAACAGGGGCAATTGGTAAGTAATATTCTGCAATTGCTAAGCACACACTCGATAATTTATGTGACATACTATTCATGAGTATTGCTCACCAATTTCTTCAAATTAAAATGCCATTCTGTAAAAAGTTAAATGTAGTATGTATTTAGTGTTGCAATAGTGTTTGATACTTCCACTTTGAATATGCTTTTGGCTTCTCTCAAAATGCTTTTCCTTGCAATGACGACATCATCTTCTCAGAAGTTACACATTGATTTTTCAAGAGGTTTCAATCCCATTTTCAATATGGTCCCAAACAACATCAATAATTAACATACATTTCTTAATAAAGTCGTTGATTTTTAGTGTATAAGTGTAGTCTTTTGTAACACATATGTTCCATTTTCCTAAATACTTTTCAGTTTGACCCTTGAGATTTGATATATCGCGCTCCTTGATTCATTAAAAGTGGATTTGTTCACACGATAAACAGGTAACATAACCATGTCACCAGAGATGACCATGCGATCAAATCAAATTACAAATATAGGTTGATCTTTATCCCTTTTAATATTGAACATCATGTTGCAAAGTCAAAGGCAATGGGTCAGTGACTAAACTGACTTGACACTGGCTTCTGTGTAATGAGGGTCATAGTTCTTTTATAGACTTAAGACGTTTTCATGTTTCAAACTAAATCAATTATTAGAGACATCCCAGAGTGAGAGCAAAGGGTGTTGCATGTCTACATTTTAGCGCACATTGAAAATAGTTCCTTGTTCCAGGCACAAAACGTGAAGAAGCTACAGGAAAGTCGGCAAGACATGCAAGACAGATTGATGATCCTTGCAGGTAGGCTTAAAAAGTTTAGTTGTCATTGAAATGCATTGTATTGAAACACGTATTGAAATGTTTAGTTACATGGATAGTTTACACCTATATACCGAATAGCAATAGAAAGATCAGTTAATTCTACATAAGGAGTAAATGTGAGTGATTTTCTTTTAGTTCATTATTTGAAAAGTGGATACTGTGTAATGTGGACAGTAAGTGAGTTATTCCTACAATATCTATAAACACAGTTAGCAGTATGAAAATACAATGGTCAAAGAGATATAGATCTCTTTTGCCGACGATGAATTTATTTTAGTGTTTGCTGTTTCTTTCAGGGAGGGGGGGGGGGGGGGGGGGGACATCGTAGATAAGTGTATGTTAATAATTATTCAAATTGAAAAAAATCAGAATGTCTGAATAAATATACCTCTTGATTAAGTAAATTAAACTACATAATATTATTTGAATTATACAAGAAATATTATTAACATCAGTATCATTAACCAAACTCTTAAATGTATGCATTGATAGCTGATGCTGAGTAAGGGAGTGATAAATATAAATGTCAATAACAAGTAAAAGAACAAAGGTTAGTGTTGATGATATGCAACACCCTTTATGTTTGTGAAACATATCTCAAAAACCCATTTAACAGTATTCACGTGCCGCACGCAAAAGCAACTGTTATGTGCATATGGTGTCATTCCTGATTTTGACAATTTCAAAAAAGTTCGATTTGACTCCGTGGACCATTATTTCTGCCATTTTTAAAAAATTCTACTTAGCATACAACTGTCACTTACGTGATTCCATTGATTCCATTCATTGTTTGTTTATGAACAAGCGAGGTGGCGTCTGCAATGCTGAAAACTTGCAGAAGTTAGAGTGCAGTGGTCATTACGTTCCATGTTTCACTGTCTGTGACTAGCAGACTCAGGAACAAGTAACAACAAACCCAAAATGTTGATGATCGACCCCGTTCAGTGAGTCCCAGACCAACGACAAAACAACAGGATCGATTGATCAGCAACTAGGCTGTATGAAATTGAGCTCAAATTGAGAAATGAATTGCTGCAAACTTTCATTAGCTTACGACTCAGAGATCGTCTCCATGCTCCTTGCAAGTCGACAACAGACGTCAAAGGTGTACACAAAGCCAAGACTGTTTTCATGTTTCTAGTTTCACTTTGCACTTCGTTGATAGGAGTGGCAACGTGGAACAGAACATCAAGACAAGGTCAACCTGACCCTCATGTCTAACTTGGCGATGGATCAGTTATGGTGTGGGATGGCATCACTATGACTGAGCAAACCCTACTCCATTTTGTGACTGGAAGGGTCACTGGACATTATTATCGGGACTCTCCCCTGTCCCGTTTGCAAGGCATATTGGGGATGATATAGAGAAGGTGTTAAAAGTCAATGGTCGGCGGCCACTTTGGATTAACTTGGCCAGGCACTGTTGGACAAACACCCACATAATCGCCATTTGTAGACTCGTACACGGTATGCCTCGTTGAGTGCATGAATGTTGGACTACTGATCACACTACTGACCCAAAACTACAACTTCAATATCGTCATAACATCTACTGTCACACTTCCCTGAAGGTTGTTATTTGTTCCCAATTCGTTATTTAAGACTCTTACTGTTGGTATATACGAAAACTGTTTTTGCTTCATATGCATTTCAATAAAGGTAGATTTAATCTGATATCTTCATTACAGGACACAATTTGGACGTGTGCGTGTTTGTTGGTAGTATGATGCTCACACGTGTCTTGTGTTTATGTGAACAGCATTCAATGGTTGTTTATCTATCAGCTGCTCATAAAACACTTTCGTTTTTATCGTACCCAACGCTTAACAAATGCCACTGCTTGCTGGTTATCAACGGTTATGCACTGTGCTCATGCTGCAAACAGCAATGGCGCCAAACGAAGTTGCCAGATATGTTAGTCTTCATCAAGACAATACATCATCAGCCGTTTATATGTGAGATCGCATCAATAGGGCAACTGTTCATAAGAGAACGCAACACATGATAAGGGCAGTGTGATCCTTCGCCTACACAGCATGCTCCAAGTTGAATGAACTCCCTCTCTCAAAAGATTTCCTCATCACTCTCCTGCTTCAAGAAAATCATCAAGACCCACTTGTTAAAAAAATACTCTCACTGACTTCAAGTTTCTTTGCGGCGCACAGAGCACTTATGCACAGTGAATGCTGCGCTATACAAATGCATATATTATTATTATTATTATTATTATTATTATTATTATTATTTTTATTATTTCTATGTGCCTCTGAGCCGAATTATCAGCATTATGGTCTGTTTAGTGTCCATAAGAGATTTACTCTTTTTTTCCTCCTTCCTCGCTTTTTGTTACTAAGGTAAGACTCTCGTCCCAGGCTCGGCATACTGCTAAGGGTACCTTAAGGTACACAGATCTTTGCTGAAGGATGAACATATCCCCCTTTAAATGTCTTGACTTCCACTATAATAACACGACCGGGCCGGGAATGACTTCAGAGATCCCACCAACAACCAGAATGAAATCTCCGACAGAAGATCTGTGTTGAACTCGGATGAGTATTTCCTAAAGCCACCATCGTCTAGTATGGTCCACAATTTTGTCTCCAGTGACGCCTACTGTTCACGATCTGTGCATACATCAAGTGGCACTGAGAAGTCTGCTTTTTCTGATAAGAAAGTGATTTGGTTTGAGCACTAAATAATCGTTTGGATCAGAGCTGCTATGTGTAAGAGGTCGACTGTTTTAGACAGCACAGTGCACAGGACGGATTCCAACACATACGTATTCCCTAGAGGTGATGTGGTTTCGTCTATGATTCTGAGGCACCTCATTATTAGCACCTCAAAACATGGCTCCGTTATCACTACACATGCGCTTGGCTTGGGATGAAGAGGAGAATGAAATCATCTCTCTCAAAAACAGTCTGCTAGTTCAATATGCAAACAGGTGGAGAGAAAACCCAAATGCTTGACAGAACTGCGACGCAATCATTGGGCGAAAGTAATCAACACCGATATAGACAAATGGCTCATACTCAATGGGAAGCAATTCAGAATGTCAACATAAGAGTTCACAGTTCATATTGAAACAAGTCTGAAGTATACTCGATCCCCACCTGTTGATTGTATTTATATTATTTATGTGTAGCTTTTGCTCTGTATTCAGATGAAGCATGATTTGATGCTTTCGACCTGCTTCCAGACACTGCACAGAATAATGCAGAGTGTTCTCATTGAAAACAGTTATTACACAAACTGTCTTCTTTCTTTGCCAGTTTTATTTTAGAAGAGAGGACACCTGTACAAATAGTGGGTCTCTTTAAACAGAGGACAGTGCATTTTCTTCGTCTTAGCGTCTGCCTGTGTTGGACTGTTGTGAGGTTGTTGTAAAAAGCGTACTCTGCCTTTCTACAGCCTGATCTGGTTGCGAGGGTCCATGAATTGCCTTTTTGATTATATACTGAACCGCAAAAGAAGCGGCACCACAAGTATCATTTCATGAAAAGTTGTCATTTTATTACCTGGGTATCTTTTGTCAGAATTTCTCAAAATTAACATTATCTTGTCCGGAAAAATGAAATTTGATGATAAAAAACCCAAAGCAGATGACAATGAAACCGAACGCCCAAACGCATCACGGCAACAGCCATGGTAACCCGATTTCACGTGACTTCCGTGCAAATTAAAATGCACATGCGTGCCCCAATTTCTTGCCCTATAAAAATCCACCCAGATCGGATAACATTCATTAGACAAGAAATCAGCAACACCAAGCCCTTGGACGATTGCCAGCTGGACAAACTGCCCGGTAAGTAGACAATGCATTTCAAGTCCACATAAGGACCATATGCAGGCTCCAGCAACGGTACCAGACCACCAACACTACAGATGACTGACCACGTAGTGGAAGACCAAGGGTCACCATCTGACGTGAGGACAGCATCTTCAACCTCGCTTTGTTACTACAGAGAAAACTGCTCCACAGACCATAGCGACACACCAGTGACACAGTAGTGGGTACACCGTTAGTCGACGATTGACGAGCAGACAACTCAACTGTCACAGGCCACACCGAGGACCCATTCTGACACCACGTCAACGCCAGGGCCGTCTTCTGTGGGCAACACAGCACCGGCATTAGCGCCACCAGCAGTGCAGAAGAGTCCTCTCGAGTGTGGCGACGCCGTTGGGAATGTTATTCGGATGCTTGAGTTGTTGGGGGAGACTCGTGGGGTGGTCTGAGCATCATAGTGTGGGGTGGAATTGGTCTACCAGAACATCGGTCCAGCGAGAGGCAATAGTGTCACAGCCACTCGGTACATTGGTCAAGTCTTGAGACCACATGCCATATCTCATTTTGCACGTTGCTGCAACCACGAGTTTCAGCATGATAACGCTCGTCATCATACTGCCAGAGCAACAAGAGACTTCCTCCAGCAGAGTGGCGTCCAACCATGCAGTGACCTGCCCTCAGTCCTGATTAAAATCCCAGTGAGAACCTGTGGGACGTGATTCAAATAGACGGCTGAATGACATTCCACCTGTATGTCGACATTGCACGGCAGTCTTCAAAGCACATGGCAGACACACGAGATTCTGACTTGTGATGCCATTTTATCAGAGACTAGTGTTGTGTTTCACTTTAAGAACATTTGACACTTTAATTTCAACCTTGATGATCAGTTTTGCCAAGTCTCATATTTTAAATATGTCTCAAAGTATGTTTACAGTGTTTGGACAAAAAAGGTTTCTCATATATCCATCTGTGGCAACGTTTTTTGTGCGGTTCAGTATAGTTATAGAAACGTCCTTTCATCAAGTTCTGGAAATCAAGCACAGTTGGCTTTCGTGATATCATAACTAACTTAACACAATCATTCCACTTCAATTTTTTGTCTTGTGGGAGTCGTCTGGCAGCGTTGGATTGTACTTCACGGCTACCCAAATCAGACAAGTACTTAAGTTGCTGTCGTGTGACAATAGCAATGTAAAACTTGTATGGAGCGTGCATGATCACCGTTTAGCAAATCCATGCTTGAGTGTCTGTCATCCCTCGATTGCAGTACGTGATAACATTGACGATTCATATTTGAGCAAATCCCTCTCACCTTCCATGTTAATTGATCCGTCCCTGGCACAACATTATTTGTTTCGACCAGGCATCAATCTCGATCCAGGGTTGGGATGCTGCAGGACCTCTCCGAACGGATTCCAATTGCTTTGATGACATTCATGATTCACATCTGCACTCTACTCCTAAGCAAAGCACACGGTTCTGAACGAATAATCGGATTTTGCCAGACATGATACAATAGTTCAGATAAAATACTCGAAGATAATGACCCTGCATATTGGAATGATAATGTCACATCAAGCAGGCGCCAAAAACGATTCCTATCCCTCACAACACGTGTATTTTTGGTTTCTGCTACATACTTCAGACGGAAACATCAGTGTTATGATATGTGTTTTGTGTCTATATGAGTTTAGCTGATTTTCGACCGTTTTCAAACGTTTACAAACATGCACTTTTTGTCGTTGACCTAAGGGAGAGCATTCTTACAGAAACCATTTTCAGTTTGTGCAAATATTGAATAGGTCCACATTAACAGCTGGGACAATCCCTGGGTTGAGGAGAGTATGCAACACGCTTTATTTTGATTGTCCGTTCCCGTCAGGCCCGCACAGCTTGGTATTGACAGCATCTGAGGTTTGGTGGAGGAAGTGTGATGGTATGGTATCACAATTCAGAGGAGATACCAACTCATCATTGGTACAATTTTCTACCTTTGAAATGTTGGGATGAAACGTTAAATTGCAGAAGGAAAATGCTCGCCCACACGCTGTATGGCGAGGCAGTATAACATTGCAGTGTTGGCTTTGTGAATATGATATTTTTCTGTTGATGTAATATGAATCGGTTTTATCTTGTTTGATGTGTGGGAAATTTGGTATAGAGTCGGAAATGTTTGAATTGAAAATGTTTTGCTTTGTTAAAATATGATTTAAAACATTTCGTTTTTGTTGATATCAAGTTTTGTCAAGGTTGTTTCAGACAATATCTGACCGCCTCCGTGGTCTTGTGGTAGAGCGTCCGCCCAGAGAGCGGAAGGTCCAGGGTTCGATCCCGGGCCGCGTCATACAAAAAGACGTTAAAAGATGGTACTTGTTGTTACCCTGTCTGGCGCTCGGCATTAAGGGGCTAAAACAAGGACTGGTCGGCTCGGAGTCTGAGTAGGGTATTCATGTTAAACTGCGGCATGGTATCTCAGTGAGCTAGCACTATAAATTGGCATCAGTCCAGACTAGTACAAGCAGCCACACACACACATACACGTGCATGCACGTCGCTATATAAGTGCAATAATCTTGGACGCGACGTTAAACCCAATTTCACCTCACCTCACCTCAGACACTATCTTACTATCCCATTTTGCACAGTAACACCTTGGTTGCTATACTTCTAATAATAATGTTACTGTAATGGACCAATTTGTTTTCTGAGGTCACGTTATATCTGTTGGGGCTATGATAAATCATCAGTGATTGATATCATGAGCATCGACCCATGCAATTGCGATACGATGATATGCATCAAACAAGTCAGTGAGCCCATTTTTGGTGTTCCCCGCCCTGATATTGCTGTTGAATTGCTGAATGCGGCGTAAAAACATGCTAACTGACTCACATTAATATCGTTTTGAAAAGGTGTTATCTGTGCAGAATATGCCAAGTTGTCCAGCAACTTGTCCGACGAATCTGTAAACGATTTTTTACAAGATGTACAGCAATAACAGTCAATTCAAAACGTGTCTCCCATTCCTCTATTTCTTTCCTCATTACAGATGAAAGTGCAAAACAGGCAAGAGAGGTATGTGGTTCATTTATTCACAGTAAGACAACAGAAGAAATGCCATTGAATGACTAACAGTATTCATTAGATTCAGAGAGTAATATGAAAATTCAGAAATTTGATACTGCCTTGACATATCATGTCATATTTAAGTTACTTTTTCACAACGTAGACTATTTTCATGATTAGTATTTTTCTTTTTTAAAGACACAAAGGCAGGACAAGAAATTTCAGCAAGTCATCTACATCAGAGAGGAAGAGATGAAAAGTAAGATCAGAAGAGATAACACATTGACTCGTATACATGATCCTCAGCTCCTCACCAAGATCCTGAGCACATTAATTCGCTTATTTTCGTTAGTCGGAAATCACCAATGCCTTAGTCCAGCATGCGATATTTGTATTAAACTAATATTTTTACTTCGACAGTTCATGAATACTAACCCGCTGACCCACTCACTTAAGTAACCATATTGCCGATGTGACGTAAAGCATAAACTCACTCACTCACTTAAGTAACCATGAAACTAATTTTAGCTATACACAACTCAACGAAACTAAACAAATATACTACCACTAAATTTATATACCACACTTACACTGTTCAGGTCCTGATGAGTACAGTTCACGGTGGTTATAGTTCCCGATGGTTACACACCCTGATGTCACTCATCATATACATCCTGGGCTGGCCACTACTACGCCGTGTTACGCAAATACAGGGGCGGTGGGTTCTAGTGGTTAAAGCGTTCGCTCGCCACGCCGAAGACCCGGGTTCGATTCCCCACATGGGTACAATGTGTGAAGCCCATTTCTGGTGTCACCCCCCTCTGGCGAATACCGTGTGTCACACACTGACACTGGCTGAACAACTTTGGTATCTTCAGCTACATAACGTGAATTACTCAGGAGCCAAATTCAAATACAAAAATTACTCTTGACACCTTTGATCTCAATCACTGCCATAACACATACAAGATAATAACATATTAATTTTGTCTTTCTCCTCTGATTGATCTAAACGACTTACACTATAACATTACATACAAATTGGAATATAACCCAACTGATACAACTTTCCTTTCAGATGATAAAAGTGAACTGACGCAATCAGTAAGTATTATTTTGTCCCTGTAAATATGAAACGTCAATGCAAGCAAACAACCAGTCGAAACCCGCCATACACACACTTTGCATAAGCAAGTAGTATTCCTGCAAAATCAATGATTTGTTAAAATACTATGTATGGCGATTGAGTCATTTTTATTATCCCCCGCCACGAAGTGGAAGGGAATATAGGAAAGGGTGCCGTCCGTCCGTCCGTCCTTCCGTCCGTCCGTCACATTTCGTTTCCGGAGCAGATCTTGAAAACAATACCATATTTCTTCACCAAACTTGGCACATAGATAGATCTAGTGATGAACTGGTGCCTTTGGATAGTTTTAGATTTTTTTAAAGTTATTTTTCGAGTTTCCATGGCAACGACTTTGATTTAGACTGAAAATGGCGGTAATCCTCGTTTCCGGAGCAGAACTTGAAAAACGTACTATATTTCTTTACAAAAAGGCCCAATGAACATAGTTCACAGGAGCTAATGCGTTGCACACACCCGACATGACATATTGGCGGGGGATGTGAGTATTTCATGCTTGTTCACATTAAAACATTTGAGCAAAATGGGAAATGATTCCTTGTTCAAGACTCATTTCCAGATGATAGGAGCTGTAATATATTCACGTTATCGCACAACCAAGTCACAAAACCTGGCCATTTGATCTATAGGAGTCGATTTGCAGGAGAAATTTTAATATCGAATCCCCATTCAAAGGCCATGTGCCAATAATTAAGAGAACTTTGGACTGGTTACCGGTTAATATGTGTCAAAGATTTTTCTTGAGTTAGAACATTTTTAGTTGTAAATAGAAATCAATTATTGGAGATAATGATAATGTAGTCAATGGTCAAATTCCACAGATGGATAAAAGTTTACCAAAAGGGTAACGCATACTTACATTTGAGCAAAATGTGAAATGATTCCTTATTCCAGATAGAACAACTGGAGAAGAAGTTTCAGGACAGTCAAGAAGACATAAAGAACAAACTCGCAATCCTCGAAGGTAAGCTTATTTAGGGAAGTCAAGTTTTCCTACATTTACAAACATGCACTTTTTGTCGTTGACCTAAGGGAGAGCATTCTTACAGCAACCATTTTAGGTTTGTGCAAATATGGAATAGGTCCACATTAACAGCTGGGAGAATTCCTGGTTTGAGATCAGTATGCAACACGCTTTATTTTGCTTCTCCGTTATCGTCAGGCCTGCATAGCTTGGTATTGACAGCATCTGAGGTTTCAAAGACAAGGCTGTGACACTGTACACAGACGAGTCCAGGTTTAATCTTGGTGGAGGAAGTGTGATGGTATGGTATCACAATTCAGAGGAGATACAAACTCATCATTGGTACAATTCTCTACCTTTGAAATGTTGGGATGAAACGATAAATTGAAGAAGGAAAATGCTCGCCCACACGCTGTGTAGCAAGGCAGTATAAATTTGCAGTGCTGGCATTGTGAATATGATATGTTTCTGCTGAGGTAAGATGAATCGGTTATTTCTTGTTTGATGTGTTGGAAATTTGGTATAGAGTCGGAAATGTTTGAATTGAAAATGTTTCGCTTTGTTATAGTATGATTTAAAACAATTCGTTTTTGTTGATATCCTTATATCTAGATCTCTTCCAATTTTGTCAAGGTTTGTTTCAGACATGTTTCAAACTTTAAACTCCATGAACAAAAATTGCAAAGAAATATCTTTTTATCCCATTTTGCACAGTAACACGTTTGTTGCTATACTACTAATGATAATATTAATGTTATGGACCAATTTGTTTTCTGAAGTCACGTTATATCTGTAGGGGCTACGATAAATCATTTGTCAATCGTATTCCTTCATTTAAAGGCCAAGATCTAATTCCAATATTTGAATGTTTTTTGGGATATCACATTGTTGGATACCTATTTAATATATCATTAATATTATACATCCCTCCTCTCAACCACGTTTTCAAGGCAATATGTTATTAAGGGCATTTTCATGTTAGTTTTATTGGTTGGATAAGATTAAAATATACCAGAAAATGTGTTTAGAGTCGGATGTCTGTTTTAGGTCTAAAAGATATAGAAATAGATTTCCACTCTCGTCAGTCAAGTCATTTGGAAGATTAATACCTTTTTCCGAGTACTGTTTATAACATGCCAGAGTGTCAATAATCAAGCACCTTTACCAAATATAATAAGATAATAAGATAATGTTGTTATAGATCTTACCTACAATATGTGTTTAAAAATCGCTAACAAAAAGCGATGTGCAAAGGCGAACACATCCTGCCACATCGGTGTTTATCTTCAATGTTGCATAACATACAGGTTGAAATTAACCACCGTCCCAGATATGTTATATGGTTTAAATGAGTATCATCTGGATCAGTGTTCCAGGCCGACCCGAAACTGGGCAACGCATTTCAGAATTGCAATTTGTTTGGTTCGGTTTTGGTTAATAATGGCGAAAGAAAGCTATTCCAGTTATACGACTGCCGTCTGTAAATAATCGAGTCTCGACAAGACAATCCAGTGATTGATATCATGGGCATCGACCCATATCGATACGATGATATGCATCAAACAAGTCAATGAGCCCATTACTGGTGTTCCCCGCCCTGATATTGCTGTTGAATTGCCAAATGCGGCATAAAACCATGCTAACTAACTCACGTTAATATCGTTTTCAAAAGGTGTCATCTAAGTAGAATATGCCAAGTTGTCCAGCAACTTGTCGACGACTCTGAGAGATGTAGTGTTGGATCCGTCAACTATACCACTGTCGCAAAGATTAACCCTTAATACACTGAAAGGCAAACGAAACGTCATGTGGATGTATCATATAAATATCTTTATTTTCAAATGCTTATATATGTGAGTAAAAACATCGGAGAAAGTCAGTGTTTGACCCCCATGAAATTAACAGTCTGAGGTATGTTTTTTGCAAACTGTGAATTTGGGGAGGCACCAGAAGACATTACAGCTGGGGGGTTCTAGATCAGTACCTGGTGTGGCCACCACGGGCGTTGACTACAGCCACACATCTCCTGTACATGGAGTGTACTAGCCTGTTGATGAAGGCCATTGGGATATGGGCCCATATCCTCAGGAACGCTACGCGCAGTTCTGCTGCAGTTGAGTTGGCGTTGGATCTTATGCAACACGTGTTCAATGGAATTTAGATCCGGACTGAGGTCAGGCCAAGGCATGATTTGGATGTTGTGCTGCTGGAGGAAGTCCCTTGTGAGTCTGGCAGAGTGAGGACGGGCGTTGTCTTGCTGAAAGGTGTGGTTTTGATGACGGGGAAAAAAAGGCACGATATGGGGTATGACTACTTGGGCAATGTAGCGGAGAGCTGTGATGCCATTACCCCTGCCAGGTCCCACTCTCCGGATCAATCGGATTCCACCCCAAAACATGACGCTTGGGCCACACCACGGGTCTCGTTTCATAACACAAGCATCAGCATAACGTTCGCCCCTCATTCGCCAGACCCTGACTCTGCCATCCACCGTTGAAACACAGTAGCGACTTGCATCAGTGAAGATTATTCTTCTCCATTGCTGTTGGTCATATAGCTGGATTATTGCTGAGTGTGGCGTTAAACAACAAACCCACTACCACCACCATTGCTTTTGATGTCAATTTTGATGCTGCCTGGCCCATTGCAGTCGGGCCTGGCGGTGACGATCTTAAGGATGGTTACACGAGCAGGACGGTGGCACAAGATGTTGTTGGCAGTTAGGCGACGTCGGACTGTACGATCACTGATGGCACGCTGGTAGTTGCCAATGGTTTGCCAAGCTGTTTCAGTGGCCATTCGGAATCGATTCTGCAGATGTTTGCGTATCATGATCCGATCTTGTCTGGGAGTAGTGACTCTAGGACGACCACTACGCGGTCGGTCGTCAGTTGTGTTGGTGGTGTTGTGGCGATGTTGCAAACGATATATCGTTCTGACGTTGACATTGAATGCATTTGCAACAACCTGTGCACTCTGGCCTGCTTGCAGTCTTCCAATAGCTTGTTGTCTCTCATTTCCTGATAATCTTGGCATGCCGGATGAATCGAAATAACGAAAGCCAACTTAACAGTTTTGGGTGTCTTTTATACCCATATCATCCACAATATGCACGTGCATCATTGTTTTGACAAGACTTTTCCGCAGCTGAGTCCCATTGCACTTTTGTAGGCTGCATTAAGGCAAAGCACTCCATTTTAAACTCAATTGTTAAATGGACTTTAAGGCAACAAAAAGAAGCAATTGAACGTTGAATGAGTTTATTGACAACAGAACATGTAACTGTCAGTGTCTGTTAAGTTTTATCAGTATCTTCAGAAGTGACGTTTCTTTTGCCTTTCAGTGTACAGTCAAGGGAGGAAATTATACCAGGTGGATTCTAAAAAAATCACCAATAGTTTGCTTGAATTTGTCCAGTCACACTAAACGACTAAGTTTAATTGTATCTAAGATGATCCAGTAGTGAAAGCCACGAGTATTTGTAAAGATATAGTTAAAATTGCACACTGGGACAGTATATGATAAGTAAAATTTAAGCCTGGTAAGACTGAAAGTCACTGTGTTATTACATAACCTCGATACTCCCGTTCAAGAAGAAGAAAGTTGTAAACACTTGGGTATTAAAAGTGTAATTGTGTATCTTCTACTTGCGATTTATTCAACCTGATTGGTTTCTTTCCTGATGATGTGTATTTGTTTCTTAAAAGTCTTTTAGACGCCCAGTGTGAGGGTCGATTTCAGAATTTACGAGTGTTCACATGTGGTTATGGTTCCTCATTCATACTTTCGAGGAACAATGGCTGGATACTCATCCGAAAATAGTTTACTTGAAAGCAAAATATACTCTGATTGAAACGATTTGACAAAAGGCCCACATAGCATGATGATACTCCCTGCAATCATTTAAAATGATTTTATGGCTGTGGAGGTTTTCTTTACCTGATTTGTTTTGATTTAATAAAAAGACGTTTAAAATTATGCTCAATTTTGGCCAGCTATGTCTTACAGAATGTTTCAAACGGTACTGTACAAAAGCAAAGGTGACAGGAAAAATAATCTACAACATTCTGACAGGTGACAACAAATATGAAATTATTTGTGGATATGAGCATTTATTTGGAAACAATGTTGAATGGGAATGAATTCATGTGGATAAAACTACAACATCTCATGAGCCAAATATCTAATTATTTTCAGAAAGAATGAGAGAACTGGAAAAGAGGGACAGGGGTCGACAAAACGAAAGTGAGTACATCCATGTACATTTCGAAGATAAATATATACTACTTTCCTGTTACTCGAGACACATAATAAATATGTCTTGAATGTATGTATAACACGGCCTCTCCTATTGGTGTCACTATATTACACTGTAGAGTAGTAAACAAGTATCACTTATAATATCTCACTGCAAATGACAATTCAAACTCGGTAAACCCTACAGATATAATTCAATTATTATATTTCTGTTACTTTTGTTTCCTGTCATTGGTTCTACATGACTTAAAATTCATGTCTAGGGGATGTCTCAAGTGGAAACCATGTTAGGATGTCTTCGGATGAAGCTGCAGCTCTTGTCTCACTTGCAGCGCCAGCTGCTGTTGTTATTGCACCAGTTGCTGTTGCTGCTGCACCACTTGTTATGCATGTGGCGGCCGTGGCAAGTGAGTATTAACATGCATGTGAATATGAATAAACAGTTTCAATGTTTCAATGTAAATAAATAGGAATCAACATTCATATTCAAGATGATATGGATTCGTGCATTTACACATGTCCTTACTGTGACCCGAATTATTTGGGTTTTTATTATCAACCACAATATACTTTTTGTTCTCTTAAGGTGGAATTTCGAAATGGTGGAGAGGAGAATCTTAGAGAGCTAACCATGGTTGTCAGTGTGGCTAAGTGATCATCAAAAGAATTTTCAAACGAAAGGAGGAGAAGGAGAGAACATATGCAATCTGCAAGATACGAGGAGCAGATCCCATTTATTATGAAAGGCCACATTCGTTTTTTTCCAACTATTTCGGTTGGACGTTTTGTTCAGAGTTTTTTTAATCAATTTCAAATTATGACGAACATGTAGTTTGTAGGTACACCTATAAATTCGCAGTCAGAATGTCTGTAGAATGTCCCTATTTTACTAACACTGTCTATGGAATCTTTTTTTGCATATACTTGATCGTCATTATTCTCTGTCGTAGACGTTTTAAATGTTCTTATTTTCTTTATTCAACTTTGAAAGAAGGGTTTGTCTAAAATGTTACAACCCTGTCGTTTGTACATCAGTTTCATCGATCTTCAAAAATTGGCAAGTACTTCCACCAATGGCCAACTGCATGCTTTTTTTATGTGTGGATCACATCTTCAACATGTATCAGTAATGTGCGTCAACGCATGTATAAACTTCAGTATATCAGTACTGGTATTCAGGTTACGTTCATCAAGTAGACATTTTGTAGGTTGGTTTCTGACGAGTTTGGACTTTCCCCGTATTAATTCCTGTGCCCTTACAAACGTGGACAAATTGAACTCATGGATGATTTGGATTTCTTTGTATTCATAGTTAAAGTATGTCGACATTGAATTGTTGAAGTGATGGCTGCTTACTGACTGCGCGTAATCAACTTGTAAAACCGTATGTGTGACATAATCTAACCATATAACAGGAGGAAAACATAATTGAATGTAGCAACTATATGAGCTGTTCGTAATCACTTCTCATTCCCAATGTCCTTCTACAAACAAATTAGATTAATGGATAAATGTACCAATAGCAGTTTCCAATACGTTGGTAGCTTGTTAGTCATTTTTCAATGTTCTATTGGCTTGGCGACCATATGTTCTTTGAAATAAACGGAAACGTGGCATGCTAAGAAAACCATAGGTTACCTCTGTAATAGGCGCCCCTAACCGCGAGTCAGCCAGCTGGGACACTCCTGTGAGACTCTGCGGTATGGTTCAAGCAGTAGGCGGATGAATCAGGCTAAACGGGCTGGTTGGAAATATAATGAATTTTTATAAACAACAAAAGTAAAACGTTCAAAAAAATGTAAAGTTGAAAAATTCAAAAAAACATTCGGAAGAAAGCCTATTAACTGGCTATTATTTACTACATATTTTACCTACCCCTAAGCCAACATATTCCAAAATAAAAATCGTCCCCTTTGGATACTCTAAACAAGCTATTTACTAATTACGTCCTAATTGACCCCATCCCAACCTCTCACAGAGCTTTTCTACCTCGTGGCTTAACATACAACACGCGGCTCAAGCACTCAAGTGCGAAAACGCCCACCCCACAAACGACCATAAGGAAACAATTTCAGGCCAAAACGTACGCAATAAGAGAGACAATTGACTACAAGATACATACTACTTCCAGACGTAAAAATTTCTGATTGGTTCTAAAAGTAGCCACCCGATGTCCCTCGCCCTATCTGACTACCCTAAATAACGCGATCGTTACACTTCAAAACGAGTCACAGTGATAATGATGTTGTTTATTATTGTTGTACATTCATTATGTTGTCCACATGAAAGTTGAACCTGACAAGGTTGTAAACTGACGATCATAAGAAGGGATTCAAATTATTTTATTTTTTTTAAATGATAAAATGTTGAAGGTCAAGATGACCCCGAAAACGTTGTATCGGGGACAAGTTTGGTGATAGGGCTTGGCATGCAAGACATTGACGTTATTCATGGCTTGCTGCCAGAAACAACACGAGCTGTGAGGTATTGCATTGTTTTGTTGAAACAGGATCCTGGGACTGCGCTCCAAGAACGACGGTTTGTAACACAAAGGTCATTGTAGCGCTTGGCATATTAATATCTAAACTTGGCGTGCCAACGTAAACGCCGCAGCCGATGTTGATTCTGCTGAATGGTCGACAGACCCTGATACCATGCTCTTAAAGTTGGGACATAGAGTATAGAGACTGATGACATTTCTAAGCGCGGTCAGTGCAAACAATGTCACACTCAGGAATATGTTATGTAGGTGAAAGGTGCGGGGAGAGCGGTCCTCATGATCAACGGCGGTGGTGGCAGGGGTGTTTCACTTTGTGGCATGTCTGCAGCTATGACATTCATCCTGTAACATTGCATCAACTTGTTGATCGTCGTATATGCTTTTCTAAGCAGTTAGCCTTGCAATGTTTTCGGGTTTTCTACGCAAAGGTTAATAGCGGCATCAGCACTGATGTCATGCTTCATATGGATTGCAAGGTTTCTTTACAGCGTCATTCACACGTTTCGTATCTTCAAACGCAGCAACTTGCGACATTTTTTTTATTTGTTACTGTCGAACAATACCACGACCTATTTGACCTCCCATGAACGTAAGCTATTTTTTTTTTTTTTTTAATATTTCAGTAGCCTCTCTTGTTATCGTCAGTTGTCATGCACGCAGAGTTGCTTCAAAGTAGGTGGGTAGATGATAACTTTTTTTCGTCTTTTTTAAAAAAGTATTAGTATTTCATAAAACAGTAAAAAAAAACATTCACTTACTTTCTTATAATATGGTTTGTCTGCACTCAGAATCGTATCATCGACGAGATTGTTGTGAATATGGAAAAGGTTTTGACGCTTTTATTTTGGGCTTAAATAAGAGATCAAGTAGAGTATTTAGATATTATTAACTTTATATTGAACGACAACCTCTGTTGAAATACGACAGATGGGCACAATGTGACAATACTGACATAAAAGTAAGTATGCATACATTGGGTTTAATTATTAACACTGTATCATCGTACTATGTGACTCGTCACAATATGTATTCATGGAATGACATTGTTTTACACGATTTTTGACTTTGTACTTTAGATGTGATAATTATGTTGTTTATTGTTGTAAGTTTATTCATGTATCGTGTGTTTAAATATATAGAAATGTTATGTAATCTGATTATTTCAAGTTATATGTAATATCCCATTTTGTTTCGAAATTTCGATTTTTTTCTTGGATTTCGATTAATTCAAGTTATTAATCGAATTTATAAAGTGTTAGTAATTTAAATATTTTCTCGTAATTATCACTATGTGCACAAAGTGTTTTTTTCTCGTTACTTGTCTTATTTCTTAGTAATTTAGATTATCGTTTTCGTTATTTCGAATTTGTTAATTTTTCGTAATACGGAATATTTTCTCGTAGTGTCGATTTCATCGTAATGCCGATTATTTTATCGTTAGTTCTAGTGTTTTGTGTCAAGTGTTACTCAACATTCAATCCACATCCAACACACCCCACGTCCACAAACCGAATTACGTCCGACTATAGAATTGTGGAAAAATATAGATATAACATATGGGAAATAAAAAACGGCCATACATCCTTAGAATAGCAAGAAATTAATAGAACTAATAACAGGAAGGTCAAATTTACGAGCGGGAAAAGAAATTTGGAGATAAATGTAAATAACTGAAATAACCAGAAAAGTCAACAAGCCTGTCATATAAAGATACAAATATGTTACTAAAGTGGCACCATTTCGTATGCTTCTTCTTTTGCAGCAACATTAGTAATTTTATACAAATTGTTTCATAAAAAGTTATTATCATTTTAGCTCTGAGTGGGTTAGATCACTGACTTTTTGTGCGAGCGCTTAGGTGCCACACTCTGGCAGTGTGGGTTCGAATCCCGGACGGGACTCAGCCCCAAAAAGCACGAGAATCTGTACTTTAAGGAAAAAAGGTGTTATCCCAAATATAACATTTGTTGCATTTGACAACTTCTTAAATGGCATTGTGTGTTCATAGCTTTCGGCTATTGGAGACGTGCCAATTTACACTTGTCAGAGGGGTACACCAAGTACGTGATCTAAACAACCAGTTGTCGGACTTGTGGTTTTTGTGGAAGCCTCGGTGGCTGAATGGGTCAAATCGTTGACAGTGTGCTGGCGATTAGGTGCCTCACTCTGGCAGTACGCGTTCGAATCCCGGACGGGAAAGCTGTACTATACTGAGAAAGTGTTATCCCAAATATAACGTTTGTTGCATTTTATATATATTTACACAGTAAGCTGTTTGACCTTTGTGGGGATGTGTGATTATACTTTCCAAATATTACTTTCAAGGTAGTTAGTTTGTTTTGGGTTTCGTTTTTCGTCTTTGGTCTATTTGCACTGAATAAAAACATAAACATCAATCAAATATAGTTAGCTTCTCTGTAACTCACATGTGAGTTAATATAACAGTTGCCAGCCCGTAATATGTATAATCAAGGATATGCTTCAAATTTGTTGTTTTTCTATGAATGTGAAACTGGGATAGCCCAGACATCAGACACTGTGAATGTTGATGTGAAGTAAGGTTAAGTTTGCTAAGGTTGGGCGTAAGTATGCCTCAAAAGAGTTACACATATTCATTTAACACATACATTCAAAAGGGCAAAGAGTTGAAGATATACTATTTGATTTGAAACATTGACAGATTTGTTGATCTAACTTTGTCAATATAAATAATTATTAAAACATTGCCATATAATATATGTGATATAATACCCGAACATACAACACATGCACATGCAATGTAGCTATGACACTGATTACTGAAGATCATCTAACACAGCTCCATCCGTGAGTGAGTGAGTGAGTGAGTGAGTGAGTGAGTGAGTGAGTGAGTGAGTGAGAGAGCGAGCGAGTAAATGTTCAACATTCAGTCTTGCTTGAAAGCGGTATATGCTTCTATGCCGAAACGTCGTCTTTACAGTATTAAAGAAGTTGTTATCCATAAATTGTGGCTACTTTTTCATCCGTCAACTTCTAAGTAATGGCTATGAAACAATTTAACTACAATATACACATAAGTCATATAGTTACCTGGACCGCCGGCTATCTACAATATACACATAAGTCACATAGTCTCCAAGACCCCCGGCTAACTATAATGTACACATAAGTCATATAGTATCACAGACATCTTCTAACTTTCGGTGCTTTAAACAAAAACACAATTTGCATACTCATTTCTGTATTTCCAGGCTAGGACTTGAGAGAGAATGAGTGACTGAGTTTGGTTTAGCGCCTCTCTGAACAGTATTCCAGTTATGTCACAGCGTGTCAACTTAATGTGGACATAACAGTGAAGTAATACCCTCAGAACCCCATGATCCTGGTATGGGTAAATCATAATATTCTTTTGTGTGCATTGGAATCATCTGAAAAGGGGGACTAAACGGGTATTATTAATTACTGAAACCATCATCTTCAAAATAATACGTAGCTTTATGAAATATAAAAAAAATTTAAATAAAATATCTGAGTTTAGTGTGTCAGTATTTTCTTAAATTTTAAACCTTGAAAATATTTTTTAAAGAATAAATGACAAGGGGAAGTTGTTTATCATGCACTAAAACACTACAAGGAGAATGAGCCACGATTCATTATATTTCTTATGTGAGATATTAACATTTTTTACAAGTTTCTAAAAATATATAACACATTTTATTCCCTGAAATCAATCTATAAGATATGAAGTCGGACATGTGCATTTTATTAACAGGGCGGTTACAGATTGACAGCCAATTATACAAAGGTACAGGTAATGACAATTATCTGTCCCTTTTTTTCCAATAACAGATCTCGCACTGCGTTTATCTACCTTATTTGAATACAGAAAATGCTTTGTAGCTTTTATTTACATCTTAGGGAACAACTCACTACCCGCTAAAAATAGCATTGTCCAATTTACAACGTCATCAAGTTGTGAGCGTATGTTCGAATCTCCAGGAATGACGTCATGATAGAAAGATGTTTTATCGTGTTATAAACTCATGCTTCATGGTTCTTTGCTATTTAACGCGCAGCTATCTTTTTATTTGGAGAAATGTCGTGAAAAGAAATCTGACAAGTAACATCACCATCTATATTTTCATCCACTCTGTCACATGGACGGTATGACAGCAATAAACTCCAATGATGTTGTTTTTCAAAATTCCTAATGACAGGATCTTTTTAAGCCACAATAGCAACACATA